AATGCACCCAGAATGTTATCCAATCGAGATGAGGTGCTTGAGGATTTGAATTATTAGCGGAATTCAAACACCTACGCACTGCAGAGTGTACCGGTGAGAGTCTCAGGTGATAGTACACAAATAACCACCGTATCGTATTTTTTCGTATGACCTCGACCCTTCGAATCGAATGGGTACTGGTCAGACAAGAGTATAGTGGTAATATACCGGGAGGTCCAAAAAAGCAGACACAAAAGGCTTAAATTTGCCTCAAGATTTTCTTTCAATGGTGCTTTTAGAAGACAGAGGGAGGAGGGGGTATGGTTTGACGAAATTAGTGAGAGACAGATTGGTATTATCATTATCAATTGCTAGAAGTGCATCCCAAAAACTTGGTTTTCTGTTTCGGGCCAGGAGCTATTTCACTTCCAGTCAGCTGCTTATGATCTATTAGGCACAGATCCGACCTGTCCTGGAATACTGTTCCCATATTTGGAGTGCAGCACCCAAACGTACCCTGAAACTGTTGGATTCTGTCCAAAAAGGGGCAATTCGTCTCGTGGGTGATGCCTCGCTTACAAACTCACTCACTTCTCTGGAACACCGAAGAAAAGTTGGCGACCTGGCTCGATTTTATAGATATTTTCATGGACAATGCTCTTCTGAAATTCTGAAATATCAACAATTGTTCCTCCCTTGGCAGTCCCCGCGAGATTAACCCGTCGAGTTGAGGCTTCGCTCCCCTTCGCGGTCACTTTGAAAACCTGCAGAACATCTCTTTCCAAAGACTCGTTCTTCCAACGAACAGCGAGGCTCTGGAACACATTGCCAAGGGAGGTGTTTCCCGAGGCATATAACCTCCAGAAATTGAAGAAGAACACCAATTCCTACCTCTTTTCCTTTGGTTCTCACGATGTTCTCTGAACATTACAGGATATTCCTTTTCGTGGGAACCAGAACATAAAAAAAAACTTGAGTATCAAATTGTATCATCAAACTTGGCCTAGAGGAGAGCTAAAAAGAGTTAAGCGGGAGTTCTGAAATTCATTTCCGTTTTATTCACCGTGACTGGGCAGTTGAAATGTACCTAATTATAGTTCAATGCTGCATTGTGTATGTTAATCATAATAATTATTAGCCGTAGTAATATTACGACAATACCACTGAATTGTATGTTGCAATGGAAAGTATAGCATCTGACCCACACGTGATCCTGGTAGGCAGCTAGAAATTTGAATAAAAAGACAAAAAAGGGTGAACAGCTTGTGTGCAGTCATGATACTCATAAATAATCCTCGTGAAAACTTTGAAATTTAGTTTTCAGTTGTTTTATGTAGAGGGTGATTCACCATAAATGCCCCTCCCTCTAGATCAGCTATTTTTGAACCGATCCCAGAATGATTTAAAATGATTTTTGATATTTTTTTTTCCGCTACATCAGAATCAGAAAGTGTTTTTTTTTTTAAATGGAACACCCTGTATTTCATTCCATTTTTAGATTCTCCCTTTCTCCCGGAAGAGCTGATTTCATCAATATACCACACCCGGAGTCTAGCGGAAAAGATTTTTTTTTAATGTTCTGGTTTCCACGAAAAGGGATATCCTGTAAAGTTCAGAGAACATCGTGAGAACCAAGGGAAATAAGGTAGAAATTGGTGTTCTTCTTAAATTTCTGGAGGTTATATGCCTCAGAGAACACCTCCCTTGGTAATGTGTTCCAATTATTAAATGTCAATAGATATAGTAAATTGAAAGTTAAGATAGGTACATATGTGAGTCGTTTTGACCAATAACGAATAGTTTAGACACAAAAATCCTAAAGTTGAAAAATCTAGACTCCAAGTGTGATGTATTGATGAAATCAGCTCTTCAGGGAGAAAATGAAAATGCGATGATATACAGGGTGTCCCATTCGAAAATATCAACTACTAAGTACCCTGTTGATCGTTTGTTGCGAGCACCCTATATTTTCTGATGTAGCAGAAACAAAATTCTGAAAAATCATTTCAGATGATTTTTTAAATCTCGAAATCGGTTCAAAAATGAGCGAGCTAGACATATATGGTGAATCACCCTGTACGTACCTAAACCTTAAAACCGAGCTACAAACTTTGCTAGTACATTCAAATAAATACCTTTATCTTAAATTATTGAGTTAATCATCCATTGCTCACTCGATTTTCAACAATTCCCAGAGAAATCAACATCAGCCCAAAACTGTGATGGATAAGTTGACCTAAATTCTGTTGTCTGAACTCAGAATTAGAAGGTTCCAATTCAAAATGAGAAAGTTGGTGTCGAATTTAGGCACACCCTGTATAGTGGGAGAACATAAAATATTTCACGAAGATAGGAAATGATTGATCATAGCAGCACCAGCACGTTTTCAATCCGAGTGCAAGTTTGAAAAAGTTATAATGTGTAAGGGGATCTTGAATTTCTCATAATTTACAATTTACAACGGATTCCGTTGTTTTAACGTCTTGCATGAGACCCCATGAGATCTCTACCTCTACTATAATGATGGGCTGAAACACTATCGGCATTCATCAGAGGTGTGTGCTGGTACCCGCATGGAAATATTCTACGATGCTGTATATAATAACTGAATTTTGCGTTACGTAAAGCTATTATGGCTTTCACGAGCAAAATCTTGCGACCTCAAGAAACGTTGTCATTCACTATTTGCATAATACTGGTTTTAGAAGAGGAAGTACTTGTGTATCAGCTGCCCACGTTTAGTGATGATTTTCTTTTCATACTTCCATCGGCATTATTTCAATTTCTGTAGTGCTACGTCCGCAGAAATAATCTTAGGGAGGGGCAAGTCACAATAAATGATGTACAATATTCAGTACATATCAAAAAAACAGTTTTTGCACGACCTATAAGCGATTTTACACCGACAAGAGCGGGAATACAGGTTATACAGAGTATGCACTCTCTAGGCAATAGTTTTTCCACACATTTCTGCAATATTTATTGAAAAAACTTTGGAAAGCAATTAAGAAAATATGCTACCACACTTTTTCGACGTTCACAAAAAGCAATATGGCTACGCTTCTTTATCGGTAGTCATGATAATCAAACTTGATTTTGTGATTCTTGTGTTCAGATTTTCATTTTCATATTGACAATAATTGATTTTATCATAGGATTCTTTCAATTAAAATCGTCGAGTCGTGCAAAAAATGGCGAAAAATGGTAAATAAACCTCTTCAAAAATGGCATTCTTATGAGGAGTCTTGAGCAAATTTATCTATAACTTCGTTGATAAAATTAACTCTATATCTTTCTATAAGATGTCGATGAATACTAATTGAATAATGCGAATGTATCTTGTTTAGAAAGTATATGAGTAAAGGCCAGGCGCTAGAAGGGGGGGGGGGCGAGTGCCCCCCTTGGCTCCCTCACCGGACGCCCCTGGCTACAAAATACATTATTATGTAGGATGTAGGTATACATACATTGAAACTGACTCATCCTTATTGATGAGTTGAGTGATGCGTCAATTTGTTTTGTTTATTGTAGGCTATCAGCTAATTAATATTAATAAAGAAACCTCGAAAGAAACAAGAATGACGAAGTCATGCATTTCATATTCGATATAACGGATGAGCCAAAACAATAAATGATCAGTCACTATATCTTATTTTACTTTAACTATTTTATATTTTCTGACATACAATTTCACATTTATATGTCATATCGAAAAATTGATTGATTGATTGATTCATCTTGAATCAAAAATAATAGCAAAACCAGACTGCTTTTACCGGCTTTGACTAATGATTTTTTTTCATATTTTTGTCTCACAATTTTTTCTATATGTTTTAACATCATCGAGTGTAGCCTCGAGTCTAGAAATTCACGAAAATTTGTTCTCCCAATTTTTATTTCCCTAAAATTTGTTCATACTCAATTATTTGTGCTTCTTTCACAGCCTATATCTCTCTTCTAATAGTTGTTCATATTTTTTTTCAATTTTGTTCATATTTTCTTTTAATTTTTTTCATAATTTCGAATTATTTTTTGATTTCCTCCTCATGTATTGTTCTCCTTCCTAATTCTCCTTTATATTTTCTCCCTTATTCTTGAAAAAAATATCTTCTTTTGGTATTCTTATGAATTATTGTTCTCATATATTTTTTCTCTTGATTTTTTCTCAAGAAGTTTTCTTTTTTATATTTTATTTCATATTTTCTTCTAATTGATTTTGATCAAATTTCCACAAGAAATGCTATAAGCTAATAAGCTATTTCTAAAATTACATATAATCCTGTGGTTGTTCCCATGAAATTTTGTTACCCTATTTGTTTTCCCCAATTTTGAGTCCCTTCAACATTTTCCCCTGATTTCATTCTCATAATAATTGTGTTTTTCACGAAATTTTTTCCATTAATTTTTTCTTGTCTTTTCTCCAAATTTGTCTTCTCAAAAATTATATTATCAAAAAAATTCGTTCTCCATAATTGAACTTTCTCATAATTCCTCAGAATTTCAAAATTTCTCACAATCTCTCGTGATTCCTCATAATTCCTCTAAAAAATGCTCAGAATTTTTGGAAATTCCTTGAAAACTGTGGCTTTGCCGAAAGGTAACAGCATAACAGTCAATTTTGGCTGTAGTTCCTCTTAATTCATTATAATTTCTTGTAATTACTCGTATTTTAACGTAATCACTCGTAATTTCACCTAATTGCTCGGGGTAATTAAAATATGACCTGTAATTCCTTGAAGTTACCCAAAAGTTGTCGGAGTATCCTGAAATTTCCTTGAAATTATCAAATTCATATTTTTTTCATATTCATCTCTTTTCTCATAAATTCTCGTATCCAAGTTCCAAGTTTGTTCCTCAATTTCATTCCTCACCATTTTTGCATCGTTCTCAACCTCGATTCTTCTCCTGAATTTATTCGTCTCATAAAATCTTTTCATCCTAATTTTCCTTCATGAATTTTTCTCATTCCTTCTTTTCCTCGTATTTTCAATTTCAATTTTTCTCAAAAATGATTATTTCCAGACCACCACCCCGTCGTGCCGTCGCTGACGGAACTCGCGGCGAAGCGGGTCGCCTCGCACATCCCCTTCGAGCTGGTGGAGCACGTGTACCCGCCGGTGCCGGAGCAGCTGCAGCTGCGCATCGCCTTCTGGAGCTTCGCTGACGACGAGGAGGACATCCGGCTGTACTCGTGTCTCGCGAACGGCTCGGCGGACGAGTTCTCGAAGGGCGAGGGGCTGTTCAGGAACCGGATGGTAAAAGATCCGCTGCAGATTGGTGAGTACCTAGAAATTACACAAAATTTCACAAAATTACATAAAATTACACAAAATTACAAAAAATTACATAAAATTACACAAAATCACACAACATTAGACTAAACCACGCTAAGTTGATCAAGTTACACAAAAATCCACAACATTACTTGATATCATCCAAAATTATACAGAATTTCATAAAATTCCTCTGAATATTTCGTAATTACTCGTAGTTCCTCGTAGTTTCTCGTATTTCTTCGAAATTTCATTGAATACTTCGATATTTCCTAAAATCTCCCACAAATCTTCGAATTTTCCCAAAATTTCCCGGAATATTGAGTTTTGTCGGAATTCCTTGAAATACCTCGAAAATCCTCATAATTTCGACGACGATGACATTCGGCTGTACTCGTGCCTCTCAAACGGCTCGGCAGACGAGTTCTCAAAGGACGAGAGGCTGTTCAGGAACTGGATGGTGAAACATCCGCTGCAGATCGGTGAGTTTTAAGAAATTTTACAAATTTACAGAAAATTACACAAAATTACATAAAATTACACAAAATCACACAAAATTACACAAAATCACACAAAATTACAAACAATTACACTAAACCACGCTAATTCATATCAAGTTACACAAAAATCCACAACAGTACTTGAAATTATCCGAAATTACACAGAATTTCATAAAATCCCTTTGAATATTTCGTAGTTACTCTCTGAATATCATAGTTATTCGTAGTTCCTCGCAGTTTCTCGTAGTTCTTCGAAATGTCTTTGAATACTTCGAAATGTGCCAAAATCTCTCACAAATCTTCGAATTTTCCAAAAATTTTTCGGAATTTCGAGTTGTTTCGGCAGTATATCGATCAAATTGATATGACATGCTTTTTATGCACATTCGCGATAGTGAATTGTCTTATCCTATAAATTTCAGAGCAGTACTCAAGTATTTTGAAGTATTCAAGAAAATCTGGAATTAAATGAATTTTTCATCACCTTCTCACGGCTTTTTTTGCATTTTCTTATAGAGCTGATGTTGATTTCAATCGTTCTATTTTGGCCTCTAGTTCACCCTGTAGAATTTATGGTACGTTGTTCTGGGACACCTTGTACATCAAGTTTGGCTGTTCACCTCTAATTAGTCTAATTAATGATTTACAAAAATTCCAGGCATACTCTAAACTCCAATATCGTCCAAAATATCTTTTTTCTGGCAGAATTTTACTGTCCTTTCGTTTTCGTTTGTAGACTTCAATGACCCACATTTTTCAGGAATATTCATTTTTTTAGTAATCAAATATCAGTCAAAGACTGATAATAAGAAATGGGAGTGCCAATACAATTACGAGATTTTTCGAAATATTCTCCTATGAATCTACGATCCTCGCCCCAAACAACAAACAAACTGATCCTTTGTCCTTTGTGACGAGCACAAAGAAAGAAAAACACCTCTACAAACAAAAAAGTTAACGTCTTCGCGTCTTTCCATTGTTCTCGCCACCCCCTATTCCCCGTCTGAGACCATTGGCGTACCACGATTATTTTTAGAGGTCTAGGAAATAACTTGGGAATAGGTGTGATTGTGGTGATTTCACGAGTGATTCCACTGAAATATTCAATAATTTCGCGATTTTATTACTTCAGCTGTTTTTTTTGCCAAAAAAACAAATATCTTGAGAAACAATATAATTTGAATGTCAACCATGAAAGGGAACTAGGTTAAACTATAATATTTTATGGTAATCACATCCACTTATAAAGAATTCGAAAAATTAAATTTGACATTTCGACTGGAAAACATGCTACTGTATGTAAAACGATATCTGGTCCTAGAGTTTCATGTATACCTTTGTTCAAGAATCAAAACATACTCACACTTCCTTCTTAATTCATCCTAGAAACTGTGTGCCTAGAATATAAGAACAAATCTTCTTACAATGTTGGTTCCACTCGCCAAAATGACAAGTTGAGACTACCCATTCCATCATCAAATTTGATTAAAAAATCGCTTATCTATAATGCAGCTAAAATATATAAGCATCTTCCGATAAGTCTAAAAAATACTCGAAAAAATATAAAATCATTTGATCAGTTTAGGAAGTTCCCCTTAATTTTCTTTATTCATTTATTTGTATCTTCATTCACTCACTACTGTGACTATTCCTTTATCTACACTGTATGTTATATCTGTATTTTTATTTCTGTTGTGTTTCTTAATATATGTTCTCTTTTATACAAGGTGTTTCTAAAATAGGTGGTCAAACTTTGGGAGCATATAGAGTGGGTGAAATAGTTACGAAAACCTCCGTAACATTTTTTTCTGAAGTGACCCCCAAGAAAGATACAGCCCCTCAAAGGGGGGCCTCAGAGAATGATTTTGAATTAGTATCTCCAACACCTTGTGTAATGAAAATCTGAAATTTTGTCCATCCACTAACTATTCAGTGCCGGTTCGAATGAAGTTAAAATCACCTCAAAATTAAATACAGGGGTGTGTCAAAATAAGGAGGTAGGGGGTAAAAATAACCCCAACTTTTTTGTTCATCACAATTTCAGTTTTTTTACATGAAATTATGAAATCTCAGGGCTATTAACATAGAAAAGGAGCTCTTGTTGAATCTCGATAAAATGAACCATTAGCGAATAAAATTTATTTTTCCAAGATTTCATTTAAATTGCAATTTTGGTGTGCGCTCAAGTTTAATTATCTAGTTCAAATCTCGCAACTGAATTTTTACCTATTTCTGATCGTCTGATCAACTCAGAATCTGGCAGATGACAGTTGACAATGCGTTATGGCGGCTCCAATGTGGCTGACCAGATTTGTGATTATGGTTCGATTCTATTCAAAATTGGTATGTGAGGGTTTTTGGGGTTGGAAATTTAGAATTCGTTGTCGGAATTCGTGAAATCAAAATAGCCGACGAGTTTTGTTATTATGGACTGATCCTATTAAAAATAGAATAAAAAATATTGTACCATGAGTTTTTATCCACCCAACTGTTTGACCTTTTGGAAGAAATTCCTCTAGCGAGATGGCATGTTCTTTGGTACATGCACGATGGGGCCCCACCCCATTTCAGTCGACAGTGTCGATTATGGCTCTCCGAGAATTTCACGAATCGATGGATAGGTCGAGGTCATGATGCTCCTGTGAATTGGCCCCCGAGGTCACCAGATCTCAATCCTATGGACTTCACTGTTTGGGGACAAATGAAAGAAAAAGTATATTCCCGGTCGATTGATTCTATCGAAGAACTGCAGCAGAGAATTGAAAACCCTTTCACCGAAATAATTCATGAGGGAAGGCTTAACCGCATATTATTTTCTCTTGAAAAAAGACTGCGTCAGTGCATAGAAGTAAATGGAGGACACTTTGAGGAGTGAAATGATAATTAAGCATCAAGTCATTAGAGAATTCTTATTACGCTGAAGAAATGTTGCGGATCTCTCACTATTTCATCGTGATACAACTTGCCTCTCTCCAGAATCTTACTAATCGAAAACTTCATCATCCCTCTCTTACATTCCTGCTATGCTCTCTAACTCAGTGTTAAATTCTACGTTCCATTTCGTTGGAGTTATGTTGTATGAAAATGTAATAAAATAAGGTAGAAAAAAAATCAGTGATAATAATGCTTCCATCATTCAAATGCTCCAGGAAGTGGAAGAAGATATCTAGAAGCATTTTTTTCTCATTTTTAGAGCATCCACCTGCTTATTTCATCTTCGATTTTGTATTTCAATAGTTGAATTAATAAAAGCTTGTTTTTTACAATATTTTTTATTTTATTTTCAATAGGATCATCCATAATCACGAAAATCGTCGTCTATTTTTAATTCATGAATTCCGACAACGAATTCAAAATTTCCAACCCCAAAAACCCTTACAAACCAATTTTGAATCGGATCGGACCATAATCACTAATCTGGTCAGCCACATTGGAGCCGCCATATTTTTTTCTATCAAAAAGTCCATAACGCGTTATCAACTGTCATCTGCCAGATTCCAAGTTGATCAGACGATTAGAAGTAGGTAAAAATTCAGTTGCAAGATTTGAACTAGATAATTAAACGTGAGTGCACACCAAAATTGCAATTTAAATGAAATCTTGGAAAAATAAATTTTATTCGCTAGTGGTTCATTTTATCGAGATTCAACAAGAGCTCCTTTTCTATGTTAATAGCCCTGAGATTTCATAATTTCATGTAAAAAAACTGAAATTGTGATGAACAAAAAAGTTGGGGTTATTTTTACCCCCTACCTCCCTATTTTGACACACCCCTGTATTTAATTTTGAGGTGATTTTAACTCCATTCGAACCGGCACTGAATAGTTAATATATAAACAAAATTTTGGATTTTCATCATACAAGGTGTTGGAGATAATAATACAAAATCATTCTCCGAGGCCCCCCTTTGAGGGGCTGTATCTTTCTTGGGGGGCACTTCAGAAAAAAATGTTACCAAGGTTTTCGTAATTATTTCACTCACTCTATATGCTCCCAAAGTTTGACCACCTATTTTAGAAACACCTTGTATTTCTGAATGTAAGATAGCAACAGGACGAATGTTTAGACAAAGATTTTCTCGAAGATTTCATCTCTGATTTTATCTATTGCTTCAAAAATATAGTGTTAAATGTTCAAATATTAAAGGTATGTCGACTCCAGACTTATTTTCACTTACTTATTTAATATGACTTTGTCACAAACTCATATTTATAACATAACTCCTTCCACTTGCCTCTTCATTTCTGACATTCGCTAGTAAGAAAAACGTCAACTTCAAGAGCTAATCTGAAACAAAAATGGACAACTTTGGAGTTGATTGCAGAAAAGATATATTTTTCCCAAAAACTCATATTTGTTACATAACTCTATCTTCCACTTGCCCCTTCATATGTGTCATTCGCTCCTTCCTTGTACGCCCATGCTCGATGCTTGCATTTTTTTCAGGTTTCCACCTGTCGGCCAGCGTGCAACAGAGCCCGCGCGGCATTCACAACGTCGCAGTGACCTTCGACCGCAGGCGCATCTCGTCGTGCAACTGCACCTGCAACTCGACCGCCTATTGGTGCTCGCACGTCGTCGCCGTGTGTCTGACGCGCATCCATTGGGTGAGTACGGGCTGGAGCGTGCGGCCGTCGAAGCGGCGGTGCCGGTTGCTCGAGCTCCGTCCGTGGGTCTGGGGATATTATTTATTTATTTATTTATTTATTTATTAACGGACAAGCCAATTATGCAATTTACAAAAAGAGAGTATAAAAATACAGAGCACGTACATATTATTATGTCTATGAAGAAGACTAACACAAACAAAAATTGTAGAAGGCTAAAAGGAAAAAAAAGATGAGGATTATGAAATAAGTGATTAACAGTTTTTTATCGCTCTCCTGAAAGAACATAAAGATGAATTGAACAGTTTAATTTGGTAAATGTGTGTATTTGCTGTTAGGGGTGTATTCAAATAGATGATTTCAGGTAGCTTTGAGAAAGAGAAAATAAGTCTTTCCCATCTGTCTCTTGTCTTCGGTCTTCCAATGTAAAACAATACACAATAAATAAAATGGAATGGAAAGGAAGACCTCATTAACCCCACTATAAAAAAAGTTGGACTGGTCTTCTCCTCCATTTCTTCCCATTTATAGTGTGGCCATCATAACATTTTCATTATATTACGTTGGAATCGTGAAGGCGAAGACATAATGGGAATACATATTTTTTCTCTCCCAATGCTAGCTGGTCTTCATAAATATTTGGGTTTCTAAGAATAATTTCAACAAAATATCTGTACTATATAAAAAAGCATTAAAAGTGCTGTATGGTCTTCCATATGACATTCCATCAAATCAACTTTATGAAGAAACAAGGAAGGAATTCTCAAATCTATGAACATCATACTAGACAATATGACTTGTTTCATCTTGATGCTGCTAATTCTACACTTGGTCAAAAAAAGTTCACTCACGGAGCTATCTCAAAATTCAATAAATTACCTGATGATATCGAAAAGTTGCACAAATATCACCTAATCCAAAATCAAAATCAAGAAACATATCCTCTTGCAAAGAGAAAATGAAACCTGAGTGAATGATTCCTCATTCACTTATTTATTTCATCATGTCATAATATACTTTTCATGAGCTTTTTGTTTTATTATTTTTTTTTATTTCGTTGTTTATTTCAATACTACTAGCTATAATTCAATTTGATAATGCATGAATAGTCTCATACCAGATATGAATCTGTCTGATTATTCATGTTATTCCATTGTAAATGTTAATGATTATATTTATATTTATATGAGATGTAATGTAATGTTTATAGCAAAGAATGAAATAAATAATTCATTAATAAAAAAAAAACAACTTCCATCGGTACTATGTTTCCGTATATTCAAACTTCAAACACGAACGAGTTAAGGAAGGGCTCAATTTCAATGCTACCACCGGCTAAATCCACCATTACCTCGTTGCAGCCCCATCTGGTGACCCTGCGAGCCCCCGTCTCCGAGTCGCTGTCGCGGCTGCAACGCGATCAGCTGCAAAAGTTCGCCCAGTACCTCATCAGCGAGCTGCCGCAGCAAATCCTGCCGACGGCGCAGCGCTTGCTCGACGAGCTGCTCGGCTCGCAGCCGTCCGCCATCAATTCGGTGTGCGGCGCTCCCGATCCGACGGCCGGCGCCTCCGCCAACGATCAGACGTCGTGGTATCTGGACGAGAAGACGCTGCACGACAACATCAAGAAGATTCTGATCAAGTTCTGCGTACCTGCCCCCATCGTCTTCAGGTGAGAAAATAATAATTGTGTGATTTTATGTAATTTTATGTGATTTTATGTAATTTTATGTGATTTTAAGTAATTTTGTGTGATTTCATGTAATTGTCTGTTTTTATGTAATTTTTTTGTAATTTTATGTTGTCATGTAATTGTCTGTGTTTTTATGTATTTTTTTTGTAATTTTATGTAAATTTATGTAATTTTATATAATGTTATGTATTTGAATGTAATTTTATGTAATTTTATGTAATTTCATGTAATTTTATGTAATTTTATGTAATTTTATGTAATTTTATGTAATTTTATGTGATTTTATGTGATTTTATTCAGGGTGTCCAATTGGAAAACGGAAATACGTCAACAGTAGATAGAGGTCAGAATTGATTCGGAAAAAAAAATAATTTACCGAGGTGTAATTTCAAACAAATATTCAACGACATTGAAAATAGAAAATAATAATTGTGTGACTTTATGTAATTTTGTGTTTCTATGTAATTGTCAGTAATTATTTGTAATTTTATGTAATTTCATGTAATTGTGTTTTTATGTGATTTTTTTGGAATTTTATGTAATGTCATGTAATTGTCTGTGTTTTTATGTAATTTTTTTTTGTAATTTCATGTAAATTCATGTAATTTTATGTAATGTTATGTATTTCAATGTAATTTTATGCAATTTTATGTAATTTCATGTATTTGAATGTAATTTTATGTAATTTTATGTACTATTACGTAATTTTATGTGATTTTATGTGATTTTATTCAGGGTGTCCAATTGGTAAACGGAAATACGTCAACAGTAGATAGAGGTCAGAATTGATTCGGAAAAAAAAATTAATTTACCGAGGTGTAGTTTCAAACAAATATTCAACGACATTGAAAATAGGTATTTTTTACAATATTTTCCGATCTCATCACAATTATCTAATTTGTTTGTGCCTCTGAATAGTTGACAGTAGGTGATATACTTGTATTCTGATAATTAAAGAACAATTTCATTTATTTCTCACTACTTCACGTCGGCATACAACACAAATCAAAAATAAAATATTTCGTTCCTTTGTATAATAAATAACCTAAATTTATTCACGAATTGAATGACTGAATTGAATTACTAACCTGAATGAATTCATATAAAGTAATTCCTGTGGCTTGCTACGTCAATTTCGCTCATGACATCGACCCAAAACTACTCGCTCACGGACAGTAGTTTTGGTAACAATTTCATTTGCGAAATAACTGAAACAAGCTGTATATTATCATCAAAATTGTATCACTTGTGGTAGTTTATTTGATGAAATTCCATTCCACAAAGAAACAATGTCACGTTGCAGCGACGTGAACTACCTGAGCACTGTCGCCCCACCCGCAGCAGCAGAATGGACCTCCCTGTTGCGCCCCTTGCGCGGCAGAGAGCCCGAGGGCATGTGGAATCTGCTGAGCATCGTGCGCGAGATGTTCAAGCGCAACGACCGCAACGCGATCCCGCTGCTCGAGATCATTACCGAGGAGTGTCTGGCGTGCGAGCAGATACTCATCTGGTGGTTCAATACCAAGGTAAAACTGACATTTTTGATGTTTCGTTCTGTCACTCATATTCTGCTACCAGACCCTGCTCGGGTGCCATTTGTTCGAACCTTCATTTCCGGTGATTTACTTCACCCACTACTACAAACTGAGTTTATGATGAGGCATAGGTAGCAAAAGTGAAGAAAGGACAGGAGGTGCCTTCAGTAAATTAGGGGTCAAAGGTATTGATCAGACCTGGATCAGGGTCCAAGAGAATGTAGACTTTAATTACCAACCCTGGGGTTAGCCTAGAATTCTGGTTGCTAAAGTGACTGTTGGCCAATAACTGTTCTTCAAGTCATTTCTGAGGAAAAATACTTTGAAGGAACCCAAACAAATATCTGTCGGGAAACAATATGGCACTTAGGTAGGTACTAAAGGCATCCCGCTGCCTGAGATCACCGAAGAGTGTCTGGCGTGCGAGCAGATACTCATCTGGTGGTTCAACAGCAAGGTACAACAAGCATTTTCGATGTTTTGTTCTGTTAGTCGAGTACCGTTGCAATATCAGATCGTTCTTCACAATGTGCTACAGCTCTGGGTGATTTCTACCAGACCCTGCTTGGGCGCCGTTAATAAGAATCTTTATTTCTGACCTTCGTTTAAGATATCTCGGGCGCCAGATTTTTTGTGAAGATTATTTACTTCACCTTCTCTTACAAACTGAGTTTTTGAGGAGGCCTAGGTAGCAAAAGTGAATAAAGGCGTAGGTGGTGCATCATCACCGAGGAGTGTCTGGCGTGCGAGCAGATACTCATCTGGTGGTTCAATACCAAGGTAAAACTGACATTCTCGATGTTTTGTTCTGTCACTCATATTGCGCTACCAGACCCTGCTCGGGTGCCATTTGTTAGAACCTTCCTTTCCGGTGATTTACTTCACCTACTACTACAAAGTGAGTTTATGATTAGGCATAGGTAGCAACAGTGAAGAAAGAACAGGAGGTGCCTTCAGTAAATTAGGGGTCAAAGGTATTGATCAGACCTGGATCAGGTTCCAAGAGAATGTAGACTTTAATTACCAACCCTGGGGTTAGCCTAGAATTCTGGTTGCTAAAGTGACTGTTGGCCAATAACTGTTCTTCAAGTCATTTCTGAGGAAAAATACTTTGAAGGAACCCAAACAAATGTCTGTCGGGAAACAATATGGCACTTAGGTAGGTACTAAAGGCATCCCGCTGCCTGAGATCACCGAAGAGTGTCTGGCGTGCGAGCAGATACTCATCTGGTGGTTCAACAGCAAGGTACAACAAGCATTTTCGATGTTTTGTTCTGTTAGTCGAGTACCGTTGCAATATCAGATCGTTCTTCACATTGTGCTACAGCTCTGGGTGATATCTACCAGACCCTGCTTGGGCGCCGTTAATAAGAATCTTTATTTCTGACCTTCGTTTAAGATATCTCGGGCGCCAGATTTTTTGTGAACATTATTTACTTCACCTTCTCTTACAAACTGAGTTTTTGAGGAGGCCTAGGTAGCAAAAGTGAATAAAGGCGTTGGTGGTGCATCATCACCGAGGAGTGTCTGGCGTGCGAGCAGATACTCATCTGGTGATGATTTCTGCCAGACCCTGCTCGGGCGCCATTTGTTAGAACTTTTATTTCCGGTGATTTACTTTACCTACTTTTATGAACTGAGTTTATGATAAAGCCTAGGTAGCAACGGCGAAGAAAGGACAGGAGGTGCCTACAGTAAACCAGGGGACAATGTTATTGATCAGACCTGGATCAGGGCCAATAAAATGTAGGATTCAATTGCAAACCCTGGGCTGAGCCTGAAATTCGGATTTGACTATTGATTCTTATCGATCTTGCCTAAGGATTCTATATCAGTTTTAATATCATTCTGTTGCTACAAAGTTCATATCAGTTTTTTTACCTTTTTATGATGAATTCTACCGACTGCGCCGATACTTTTGTTTTACTTTAACCTTTTCAATATGTGTGATACTCAGGTGGCCCTACTGAGTGGCAATTCTGGATATGGAGGTAGCGGGGGAGGAAAGCACAATAATGTGAACAGTAACACGCACGCCTCCCAGCATGCTTGCTCATCTTTGTGCGAAGAAGTCGTCGTCTTGTGGAGACTGGCGGCTCTAAATCCTGGATTGGCGCCTTCCGAAAGAGATATGCTACATAATCAGGTGAGAAAAACCATGCGATAAACATATATATGTTGCTGAACTATAACAATTATCAAAAAAAAAATGTTTCCTCTTCGAGATATCAGCTTTTAAAGTCGTGAAATCAGAAGGAGAGTTTTCGATCTAATCTGACATTGAATTCTTTCTTTATGGGGCTGAAATAGTGTCTATGAATTTTTTGGGGTTCTTATGGCAATCAGGAAAAAAATATTTTTCGACCTATATGAGCCTACTGCATTGCTTGAACCGCTGATTTTGAAAATATAAAGGGAGAGTTCTTTATCAAATTTGACATAAAATTCTCTCATTATGGGTCTGAATTAGTGTCTATGAATTTTTTGGAATTGTTAGGGCAATAAGGAAAAAAATATTTTTCGGCTTATATGAGCCTACTGCATTGCTTGAACCGCTGATTTTGAAAATCTAAAGGGAGAGTTCTCTATCAAATCTGACATCAAACTCTCTTTTAATGGGTCTGAATTAGTGTCTATGAATATTTTGGGATTCCTAGGGCAATCAGGAAAAAAATATTTTTCGACCTATATATATATATAGCATTGCTTGAACCGCTGATTTTGAAAATCTGAAATCTATCGTATTTGACATCAAATTCTCTCTTTATGGGTCTGAATTAGTATCCATGAATTTTTTGGGATTCTTAGGGCAATCAAGAAAAAATTATGTTTTGGCCTATTTGAGCCTACTGCATTGCTTGAACCGCTGATTTTGAAAATCTAAAGGGAGAGTTCTCTTTCAAATTTGACATCGAATTCTCTCTTTATGGGTCAGAATCAGTATCGATGAATTTTTTGGGATTCTTAGGGCAATCAGGAAAAAAATATTTTTCGACCTATATGAGCCCACTGCATTGCTTGAACCACTGATTTTGAAAATCTGAAATGAGAGTTCTCTATCGTATTTGACATCAAATTCTCTCTTTATGGGTCTGAATTAGTATCTATGAATTTTTTGGGATTCTTAGGGCAATCAGGAAAAAAAATATTTTTCGGCCAATATGAGCCTACTGCATTGCTTGAACCGCTGATTTTGAGAATCTAAAGGGAGAGTTCTCTATCAAATCTGACATCAAATTCTCTTTTTATGGGTCTGAATTAGTGTCTATGAATTTTTTGGGATTCTTAGGGCAATCAGGAAAAAAATATTTTTCGACCTATATGAGCCTACTGCATTGCTTGAACCGCTGATTTTGAAAATCTAAAGGGAGAGTTCTCTATCAAATTTGACATCAAATTCTCTCTTTATGGGTCTGAATTAGTGTCTATGAATATTTTGGGATTCTTAGGGCAATCAGGAAAAAAATATTTTTCGACCTATATGAGCCCACTGCTGCAATGCTTGAACCGCTGATTTTGAAATCTAAAGGGAGAGTTCTCTATCAAATCTGACATCAAATTCTCTTTTTATGGGTCTGAATTAGTGTCTTGAGAATTTTTTGGGATTCTTAGGGCAATCAGGAAAAAAATATTTTTCGACCTATATGATCCTACTGCATTGCTTGAACCGCTGATTTTGAAAATCTGAAATGAGAGTTCTCTATCGTATTTGACATCAAATTCTCTCTTTATGGGTCTCAATTAGTGTCTATGAATTTTTTGGACTTTTTAGGGCAATCAGGAAAAAAATATTTTTCGACCTATATGAGCCTACTACATTGCTTGAACCGCTGATTTCGAAAATCTAAAGGGAGAGTTCTCTATCAAATCTGACATCAAATTCTCTCTTTATGGGTCTGATTTAGTGTCTGAATATTTTGGGATTCTTAGGGCAATCAGGAAAAAAATATTTTTCGACCTATATGAGCCCACTGCTGCATTTCTTGAACCGCTGATTTTGAAAATCTTAAGGGAGAGTTCTCTATCAAATCTGACATCAAATTCTCTTTTTATGGGTCTGAATTAGTGTCTTGAGAATTTTTTGGGATTCTTAGGGCAATCAGGAAAAAAATATTTTTCGACCTATATGAGCCTACTGCATTGCTTGAACCGCTGATTTTGAAAATCTAAAGGGAGAGTTCTCTATCAGATTTGACATCAAATTCTCTTTTTATGGGTCTGAATTAGTGTCTATGAATTTTTTGGGATTCTTAGGGCAATCAGGAAAAAAATATTTTTCGACCTATATGACTCTACTGCATTGCTTGAACCGCTGATTTTGAAAATCTAAAGGGAGAGTTCTCTATCAAATCTGACATCAAATTCTCTTTTTATGGGTCTGAATTAGTGTCTATGAATTTTTTGGGATTCTTAGGGTAATCAGGAAAAAAATATTTTTCGACCTATATGAGCCCACTGCATTGCTTGAACCGCTGATTTTGAAAATCTGAAATGAGAGTTCTCTATCGTATTTGACATCAAATTCTCTCTTTATGGGTCTGAATTAGTATCTATGAATTTTTTGGGATTCTTAGGGCAATCAGGAAAAAAATATTTTTCGACCTATATGAGCCCACTGCTGCATTGCTTGAACCGCTGATTTTGAAAATCTAAAGGGAGAGTTCTCTATCAAATCTGACATCAAATTCTCTTTTTATGAGTCTGAATTAGTGTCTAAGAATTTTTTGGGATTCTTAGGGCAATCAGAAAAAAAATATATTTTTTACCTATATGGGCCTACTGCATTGCTTGAACCGCTGATTTTGAAAATCTAAAGGGAGAGTTCTCTATCAAATCTGACATCAAATTCTCTTTCTATGGGTCTGAATTAGTGTCTAAGAATTCTTTGGGATTCTTAGGGCAATCAGGAAAAAAATATTTTTCGACCTATATGAGCCTACTGCATTGCTTGAACCGCTGATTTTGAAAATCTAAAGGGAGAGTTCTCTTTCAAATTTGACATCGAATTCTCTCTTTATGGGTCAGAATCAGTATCTATGAATTTTTTGGGATTCTTAGGGCAATCAGGAAAAAAATATTTTTCGGCCAATATGAGCCTACTGCATTGCTTGAACCGCTGATTTTGAAAATCTAAAGGGAGAGTTCTCTATCAGATCTGACATCAAATTCTCTTTTTATGGGTCTGAATTAGTGTCTTGAGAATTTTTTGGGATTCTTAGGGCAATCAGGAAAAAAATATTTTTCGACCTATATGAGCCTACTGCATTGCTTGAACCGCTGATTTTGAAAATCTAAAGTGAGAGTTCTCTATCAAATCTGACATCAAATTCTCTTTTTATGGGTCTGAATTAGTGTCTATGAATTTTTTAGGATTCTTAGGGCAATCAGGAAAAAAATATTTTTCGACCTATATGAGCCTACTGCATTGCTTGAACCGCTGATTTTGAAAATCTAAAGGAAGAGTTCTCTATCAAATCTGACATCAAATTCTCTTTTTATGAGTCTGAATTAGTGTCTAAGAATTTTTTGGGATTCTAAGGGCAATCAGGAAAAAAATATTTTTTGACCTATATGAGCCTACTGCATTGCTTGAACCGCTGATTTTGAAAATTTAAAGGGAGAGTTTTCTATCAAATCTGACATCAAATTCTCTTTTTATGGGTCTGAATTAGTGTCTAAGGATTTTTTGGGATTCTTAGGGCAATCAGAGAAAAAATATTTTTCGACCTATATGAGTCTACTGCATTGCTTGAACCGCTGATTTTGAAAATCTAAAGGGAGAGTTCTCTATCAAATCTGACATCAAATTCTCTTTTAATGGGCCTGAATTAGTGTCTATGAATATTTTGAGATTCTTAGGGCAATCAGGAAAAAAATATTTTTCGACCTATATGAGCCCACTGCATTGCTTGAACCGCTGATTTTGAAAATCTAAAGGGAGAGTTCTCTATCAAATCTGACATCAAATTCTCTTTTAATCTGCCTGAATTAGTGTCTATGAATATTTTGAGATTCTTAGGGCAATCAGGAAAAAAATATTTTTCGACCTATATGAGCCCACTGCATTGCTTGAACCGCTGATTTTGAAAATCTAAAGGGAGAGTTCTCTATCAAATCTGACATCAAATTCTCTTTTAATGGGTCTGATTTAGTGTCTGAATATTTTGGGATTCTTAGGGCAATCAGGAAAAAAATATTTTTCGACCTATATGAGCCCACTGCTGCATTTCTTGAACCGCTGATTTTGAAAATCTAAAGGGAGAGTTCTCTATCAAATCTGACATCAAATTCTCTTTTTATGGGTCTGAATTAGTGTCTTGAGAATTTTTTGGGATTCTTAGGGCAATCAGGAAAAAAATATTTTTCGACCTATATGAGCCTACTGTATTGCTTGAACCGCTGATTTTGAAAATCTAAAGGGAGAGTTCTCTATCATATTTGAAATCAAATTCTCTCTTTATGGGTCTGAATTAGTGTCTAAGAATTTTTTGGGATTCTTAGGGCAATCAGGAAAAAAGTATTTTTCGACCTATATGAGTCTTCTGCATTGCTTGAACCGCTGATTTTGAAAATCTAAAGGGAGAGTTCTCTATCGTATTTGACATCAAATTCTCTCTTTATGGGTCTGAATTAGTGTCTATGAATTTTTTGGGATTCTTAGGGTAATCAGGAAAAAAATATTTTTCGACCTATATGAGCCCACTGCATTGCTTGAACCGCTGATTTTGAAAATCTGAAATGAGAGTTCTCTATCGTATTTGACATCAAATTCTCTCTTTATGGGTCTGAATTAGTATCTATGAATTTTTTGGGATTCTTAGGGCAATCAGGAAAAAAATATTTTTCGACCTATATGAGCCCACTGCTGCATTGCTTGAACCGCTGATTTTGAAAATCTAAAGGGAGAGTTCTCTATCAAATCTGACATCAAATTCTCTTTTTATGGGTCTGAATTAGTGTCTATGAATTTTTTGGGATTCTTAGGGCAATCAGGAAAAAAATATTTTTCGACCTATATGAGCCTACTGCATTGCTTGAACCGCTGATTTTGAAAATCTAAAGGGAGAGTTATCTATCAATTCTGACATCAAATTCTCTTTTAATGGGTCTGAAGTAGTGTATGAATTTTTTGGGATTCTCAGGGCAATCAGGAAAAAAATATTTTTCGACCTATATGAGCCTACTGCATTGCTTGAACCGCTGATTTTGAAAATCTAAAGGGATAGTTCTCTATCAAATCTGACATCAAATTCTTTCTTCATGGGTCTGAATCAGTGTCTATGAATTTTTTGGAATGTTTAGGGCAATCAGGAAAAAAATATTTTTTGACCTATATGAGCCTACTGCATGTGCATTGCTTGAACCGCTGATTTTGAAAATCTAAAGGGAGAGTTCTCTATCAAATCTGACATCAAATTCTCTTTTTATGGGTCTGAATTAGTGTCTATGAATTTTTTGGAATGTTTAGGGCAATCAGGAAAAAATATTTTTCGACCTATATGAGCCTACTGCATTGCTTGAACCGCTGATTTTGAAAATCTAAAGGGATAGTTCTCTATCAAATCTGACATCAAATTCTTTCTTCATGGGTCTGAATTAGTGTCTATGAATTTTTTGGAATGTTTAGGGCAATCAGGAAAAAAATATTTTTCGACCTATATGAGCCTACTGCATTGCTTGAACCGCTGATTTTGAAAATCTAAAGGGAGAGTTCTCTATCAAATCTGACATCAAATTCTCTCTTCATGGGTCTGAATTAGTGTCTATGAATTATTTGGAATTTTTAGGGCAATCAGGAAAAAAAATATTTTTCGACTTATATGAGCCTATTGCATTGCTTGAACCCCTGATTCCGAAAATGTAGTGAGGAGAGTTTTCTATCTTATCTGACATCGAATTCCTCCTCTATGGGTCTGAATAAGTGTCTATGAATTTTCTGGGATTTTTAGAATGAATTTGAGAACCGCTACTCAGAATTCTCAGAACTCGCCCTACTTCATGGAAACTTAACTTACTCATTCTGGACTTCTCTCTTCCTTAGAGAAAATTACATCATAATGTTGGGACAATAGGACTATATGCTGTTCACTCCTCATTTCACATACTTATTGTATTGTTTTAGTTCACTATTTGGCACATGAAGACGCTGGAGAAAATCAGCAAATGTCGCAACACGACCACCGGCTCGCAATCGCACTACAACAAGAACTCCACCTTGCTGAAGATGGACCTCGAGGTGTTCACGGGCTTCAAGCCGGCCATCGAGGCGTGCTACCTGGACTGGGACGACTATCCCATGCCCGGCATCACCTACACCCAGGACATCAACCCCATGTACCATTGTCCGTTCACCTGTTTCAGGCATGGGCCTGACGGGAACCGCGGGGAGAGTCAAGTCACCCAGGTGAGATATCCAATCTGCCATCGGCAGAAGGCAATTGGACAATCAGCACTAAATGTAAAATTTCCAATAAGTGAAGGTGTTCCACAGGGATCTGTTTTAGGGCCCATCTTGTATTTATTGTATATTCAAAATATTTCTAAAATTGGATTGTCAAGTGGCAATTTCACTATGATTGAAAATAGCCCTTTTTATATGGCGAACGGTCTCATACATGACTCAGTATATCAAATAGCACTTCCTCTCATCTATTGATTCCCTTACAACCGTTTAATACTTCAAAGGTGCTACAAATTGAGAGAGTTCCAAACGACCATTTTTCGCGGTGTGACGTCACTTGTATTTTCTTGAGGCACCCTCTGACGACCCAAAGAGGATGCGTTGCACAAAACCACAGACACAGAACTCGAGCACAGAGTGGTTGGGTGATCTGTGACTTGAGAGAAAAATGGCTGCAAAACAAACTATAGAAGAAGGAAAAGATTCCGTGGACAAACATTTTGAAGAAATGTACATTTTTTCACAGATATTGGGGAATATTTGAAACGACAAAATGGATCTTTTTGAGGCTATACGGAAGGATACCAGGTGCCTCTTCATTGCCCTCGTACCCTGTTATGTGCTGGTACCCATGCTAGAGTCAATCTGTTCTGACTGCCCAGTTCATTTAGGGTTTCTAAATGAACTGGTTCTTGGAACCTTATGAAATGATAAGTTTTTTTTTTGTTTTCTGCTTCCTCTTTGTATATTTCACAGAGAATTACATTAGAAGTTCGAAATTTCAAATTCGAATTTGAACTGAAATTTTCCTGACGTAATAACACTGAACTTGACAGAATTTTGGCATTCTCTGAAATGACAAAATCGTAAATGCGGTCAATACAGATGAACCAAATAATGATAGCCAATATGTCAAGAGTAGAACTCATAAAAAAATGGCCCTTTTCTAGGTGAATTCAAGCAAAGCCGTCCTGAACTGCGAGAACCCACACGCGCACGCTGCTCACACCCATCACCATCACCACCACCATCACCACCATCATTCGCATTCGAGGGTGACGCGGTTCGATTACGCTAACGTCATGAGTCTGAACCCTGTGGAATACCAGCCGCCGCCTCATCCCCAGTTGAATGACAGAGATGGGAATAGATCCAGCGTCAGCAGCGAGGGATTTTGTGAGGTTAGTGGTTAGTGTGTTTCGCGATTTTTCTTATCCCACTGCTGACACCAAATTGTATTTTTCTGTATAAGTGCTTGTTCCATGCCAATTTTTTACATTTCAATATAAAATCATTACAAACTGGACTTTACCTTCCAAATTGATTGAAAAAGTTTTGATTCGCGTAAGCTTTGGTCATTCCACAGTTGACACTTAATAGTATTTCTCGTAAAGTGCCTCTTTCATGGAATTTGTCATCATTCAAAATACAATTTCTGTTTCAACTGAATTTCATATGTGTTTGACAAAGTTGTAATTAACTTTTATTTATGCTGACACACATTTATTGTCTAAGTGTTTTCTTTATAGCCTTATTCTTCACGTTGGTCAACAAATTAATAATTCACTTATTTTTTTTGTCATCCTCCTACTGACAACAATTTGTGTTTCTCATACTTAGACCCTCATTTATGGAATTTATTGCAATTCTGGTACAATTTATCTTCAACTTTGACGGCAGCGTTGTAATTTACTTGTTATTTTTTCTACAGCTGTCACGGAATCATAACTTATTGTATAACCTTTCTAACAAGTCCAATGAATCTTAGTTCAAGGTCAAATCTATTTCTGTTACATTTATAGAATTTGTAGTGATACCAATACATTTTGTAATTTCTTTTTTTTTATCCCACTGCTGACACCAAATTGTGTTCCACATATAAGTGCTTCCCTTATGACTTCTCGTAAATTATCTACAATTTCGTTTATAGATAAACCTTTTAGTTTGTTTAGGTCGACGATGATATAAACTTGCTTCAAGAGAACAGGTTCAACGACTGATTATCAATAAGGTAGCGGCAGTTACTCTTCTAGCTATTTCATCATCCCACTGCTGACACCAAATTGTGTTCCTCATATAACTACTTCCCTTATCACATTTCTTGTAATTCCTCAACAATTTCCGTTTGTGAATAAACTTTATACTTTGTTTAGGTCGACGATGACATAAATTTGCTTCAAGAGAACAGGTTCAACGATTCTGACTCTCAAGAAGGTGGTGGCAGTGACTCTTCAAGCAACAGCAGCCAAGACAGCAACACACCCTCGACAGCGCAACATTCCATCAATCTGAGCGACAACGACACCAGCAAAACCAACTACAAGCCCGTGCTGCCACCTATTTCCATTCCTAGTACTTCGAATGTCTGGATCAAGAACGCACAATCGGAACCGCTCTGTAAGAACTTTTTTATCAGTGAATGTATGCACACTCCTACTAACGAAAAAATGAGAATGAATAATATAGAAATCTACGACGGCGCTAAACGGACATAACGCGGAAGACAATTTAGTTTTTATTGTTCAAAATTATAATTGCAAGATGAATCTTGTAGTTAGATTAATTGCCAAATAAAAACTGCAATTATGTCCTTATTACAAGATAGATCTTGCTATTAGACTAATCGCAAGATGAATCTTTCAATCAGACTAATAGCAAAATGAATCAAATTGCAGGATAAATCTTGCAATCAGGCTGGTCGCAAGATAAATTTTGATATTAGACTAATTGCCAGGAAAATCTTGCAATTATGTTATAATTTCAAGATGAATATTGCATTCACATTCATCATGAAATTAGAACATAATTATTATCGGGGATCAGAATTATCTCGGAATTAGGGCATGATTGCAAGATTTATCTGCCAATCACTCTAATTACTCTATCATTTTCCAATTGCAAGATAAATCTTGCAATTATACCCTCATTTTGAGAAAAGTTCACAATCAGCTTATTGGCAAGATAAATCTGTTGATCATGTCCTAATTGCAAGATAAATCTTGACAGACTAATTGCCTGATAAATTTTGCAATTATGCCCTAATTTCAATATAGATCTTGCAATTACATTTATCTGGCAATTATTTTATAATATATTCTTGTATATTTCAATATAAATACATACAATATACATAAGTACAACCAAATAATCGATTTACATCAGGTTTCGTGGCCCCATGGACCAAAACTTCAAATGTATTGTGGGCAGTTAACGTGTCAAGACATAATTGCCAGATCCATCTGGCAATTACTCTAATTTTGGCGATTTCCAGCGTCGACGTCTCGCAGGCCGTCCAAGGACGAATCGACCTTCTCCTCCAACTCCGACTCGCCCCAATCCGGCGACGAGTACAACGCCTACTTCTACCCGCCCAATCCCGAGGACCCCGCCCCGTCACCGCCCACCCGCACCACGCCGAAGAGAGAGGAGGGGGAAGAGGGGGACGGTCTGCCCCGCGGGCAGTTGAGGAAGGGCGACGACCCGTGGGACGTGCTGTTCTCGCGCGCCGAAGGGCTGCACGCTCACGGTCACAACAGGGAGGCGTGTTTTTTGGGCGTCAAGTTGGCCGAGGAGTTGCTGATGCATCCGCCGGATTTGATGATCGAGATACCGCCCGTGCCCAGAAAGAAAGGTGGGTGAATAACCTGAAATGGACGTTGATTTTGGAATTGTGAACTGGAATGTAAGGATAATATGGTGAAAGGTGGGGTTAACTCTACAGAGTTTATAATGATATCCCATTCAAATCGAATTTGAAATTATGTTATGTATGTTTTCCATTCAATGTTGAAGATGCGACATTATTATATTCGGGTTTATTGTTGGGTTATTCAGTTTTGCTATTGTTATATCACCTCACTTTGACAAAACTAAATAACCCAACAAAAGACCCCAATATAAAATGGGACCCTACGTTGGGCGCCATGTTCAGTGAAAGTAAGGGTTTTTCAATAATCCGAATGCTGACTCTCCTAGTTCCTCTCCGTTGAAGTCCTCAATAGATTTACTAAAATCAGGCATCACTTGGTAACTGAAATCCGTAGCTTCCCGCTGTTGTAAATATTGGAACCATCTGTCTTCTGAATCCTACCGCCTTTGTTCCATCAACAACATCATTTGCATAAACTTGTCCATAAGCTGATCTGGTGGATCACCAGTTGAAGAACTGAGAATATTTTCTTCTGCTCTCGTCACAGGCATTTCGTAGATCCTTGACCACTGATTTGTTAATGACTATGAGACTGAGAACTCTCGTTTTTCAGCAAAGAGATTTTATTATTCACAATCTTCGATCTTTTATAACAGTTGAAGTTTTTATCAATAACTCCATTGTCCTTTCTCCAACAATCGAAGTGACACAGCATCACAGGGTGATCTCTGGACGCATGGTAGTTTCTCATCAGAATCAACAGGTGAACACCGCCACTCACCAGCTGACAGATGATATTTTCAGTAAACTAGCGCCATCGACAGGCGTGTGTGACAGACAAACAGATTTACTGAACAGACAATGTTGTACATCTCGCCTACTTGCTAGCTTTTCATTCCAAAATGACAATGGCCGGTGTTTTTGACGAACGATTTTCTTAGGCAAGAAGCAGCAAGTGAACCCCGCCACCCACCAGCTGAGCTGCCTGGCCTCGGGCACGCTCTCGAAGTGCGCCTTCCTGTGTTCGGTTCTGGCGGAGAACAGCGAACACTACCACTTGGCCTTCCGCGTGGGGATGTTCGGCCTGGAGATGGCAAGACCGCCGGCCAGCACCAAGTCTCTCGAGGTGAGTGGGCAGAGTGGGATTTTAGCGTAGGCGGGCCGCGATTTTACTAAATATACTGCACGCTAGCACAAACCACGCCCACCATAATACGTCATATCTCCAAACATTACCGATATACTCGGAGTCAGCACATCGCACTGAATATACTGTGCTCCAACGCAAGAATACACTTTCTATGATTTTGACACGAATTCGACTGAAGCTCTCTCGTTGTCAATCTCTTGTACGCAGTAAATTCATATACCCCAGTGGTCTACTGGGTTCTGAAAAGGTATTTATCAGGCAAAAACGGATAATAAGAAGTCTATTTGGTATGAGACCAAGGGACTCATGTCCTCAGATTTTCATTTCTCGAGAAATTCTAACCATTTACATTCTGACCGCTATATGCTTCACTCACGATAACTTTAAATATTAATCATTATATAACAAGAAATGCAAATAAACTATTCATTCCTCCAGCCTCACTCACACAGATTAGAAAAGGTCTAGTCATAACAGCTCTCAAAATATATAATCATTTGCCTGACTCACTTGTTCTGAAGAATCCTTTATTCAAAGGATTCAAATTATTCCTCAAGAATAAAAGCGACTACTCTCTCACGGAATATTTTAATGATTCATTTTAATTTGTATCATTTGTCCTAGAGTACTTCTGTTTTATACATAATAATTTGTAAACAGTTCTATGTTTGTTTTGTTTTTTTCTCCCAGATCTTGGGCTAGTGTCTATATAATATCATTACTGTTTTTATCCTAAATTGACTATTTCTATACTTGTTGTTAAAGTCTTATGAAAAATAAATGCTTACTTATTTACTTACTCACTTATATTATAACTCCAAACACAAATAAATTAGCTTGTGTTATTATCATTATCGTCATAATCAGGTGAAGTTGGCCAATCAGGAAGCGGACCTCGTCAACCTGCTCAAGCGTATCCCGCTCGGGCACAGAGAATTACAGATACTGCGCGAACGCGCCGAGCTGCTCAAAGAAGGCACGCTGCGATCTAGGGGCGAGGCGATGTTGCCGATCACTCTGGCCAGCTTCATATTCGACGCGCTAGTCATGCCGACGTTCGTGGGCAGGGATAGGGCGAAGGTGGTCAGCATGCGGTTGCCCTCCGACGAGCCGCTAGGCTTCGAGGCGGCAGTGGCGGCGTTGGGGCTCAAGGCGAACGTGTCTGAGGCAGATCATCCTTTGCTGTGCGAAGGTAAGGAGCATGGCCTGAATAACATATTGGCATGCTTGAAGAAAAAAATTTCTCCTATAGTTGGTGCCCTAAGAAGATGTCCAAAAGTTATCCCAGATATAGCAAATACCGTTCTATACTCTCACATCCTTTGTAAAAATGAACTATCTCATAAATATTTGGGGTTCTTGTTCCAAGAATAATTTCAACAAAATATCTGTACTATATAAAAAAGCATTATAAGTACCCTATCGTCTTCCATATGACACCCCATCAAATCAACTTTATGACCAAACAAATACATTTTCTTTGGAAGAGCACTATCTGATAAATACTCTCAAAATTTCTTTTGATATTATCAACAAACACCTCAAATATAACTTCATATTGGTAAGGAATTCTCAAATCCATGAACATCATACTTAACAATATGACTAGTTTCATCTTGATGCAGCTAATTCTACACTTGGCCGAAAAAAGTTTACTCACGGAGCTATCCTAAAATTCAATAAATTACCTGATGATATCAAAAGTTGCACAAATATCACCCATTTCAAAATCAAAGTCAAGAAACATATCCTCTTGCAAAGAGAAAATCAAACCTGAGTGAATGATTTCTCGTTCACTGATTTATTTCATCATGTCATAATGTACTTTTCATGAGCTTTTTGTTTCATTCTTATTATTTTTGAATATGTTGTCAGATTACATGAGAAAATGGAAAAAATGCAACCGGCCCTTTGAGAGGTAAAATTGAGTTTTTATTCAGCATTTTTCTTTATTGACTAGATATTTCAATACTGAGTTAGTTCGTCACAACCATCAGCTGATTTCATTGTGCAATATTGGTTCTTGCATCTGACTCTTATGTTGCCTGAAATGTCTCTCTCTTTCTCTTTGATATTTCCTCTCAAATAAAAAATATTGATAAGATTCTACATGGAGGCATCGTAGATAAACACAATTTCAACACTCAAACACATTTTTATTCACTCAGGACAGCTTGTACAAAGATGCCCGTTTAAAAAAATACAACATCGACAAGTGATTTGTTCTGATGCTACGATGCTAATGACTGAACCTGCTTCAAACTTCGATCATACGATGATTACGACTACCGATGAGTCTAAATTACGGGGTGATTTGAACATCGTCGCTAACAATATAATTCATCCTCCGTCAGAGTAACATGGAAGCATAAATTAACATTTCCACTAGGTACGAGAAGACAGAGAGGGGATTTGGCCATAGCCCTCTTGATGTTCTACAAGGACGATTGTTGGAAGATCGCCCGGATAATGGACAGACTGTTGGACAAGGAGGTGCACCAGCTGCTGAAGACGCCCATCATCAGTTCCTACTACTCGAGTAATCCGCCCATCAAGAGCCAGCTGAGCAACTTGAGGAGAGACGACAGCGACAAAGTTATGACGCCGATGAGCAGCTTCCTGCCCCAGGCTGAGATGATCCCTGCTGATATTGGTGAGTGGAAACAATTAAGCCGCTGTGGTTTTGTTATTATTGTTCTAAAATTGTTCTCATCCATCATTCGGTTGCCCTCTTACGAGCAACCCTCAGAAGTCTTCAAGAGACTTGTGCTAGCAAGGAATGACGGGGGTCTTACTTTTCAACGTGTGATCCCAAACACTTTCTTAGGCCATCAGAAAAATGTCTGCGGTCGTGGTGGAAATCGAACCCACCACCGGTAATTCAACGTGGATAGAACATTGAAGCTTCAACCACGAGGCTTCGCTGTCCTAACTTTTTCATCGACTCAAACGGACAAATCGTTTATATCAATTTTTCACGAACTTGTTTTGTCAGAAAAGTATCAAATATGTGGAAATGTCGCGGTTTGGAGAGTTTTTGAGTAGAGAAATAGAAAAAATCATCAATCATGTGATTTACGTATCCATTAAATTGTCTTACCCAATTACACTCAAGCATTTTTTTTGGGTCCAAGTAAAAAACTTTAATTCACAATTCAAGTTTTGTGACCTGAGGCAAATTGACTAAAAAAACTGCCAGAAAAAATTATGTACTCAATGAATGTTCACAACATGGGAACATTCATAACATAGATTTGTCAATTTGAAATTTTTGATAAAATCCAAAGGGTCTCCCTTGGTTATATTTTTTTCAGTGGAATAAAATCGACATAAGGAAGCCCATTTTTAGCGAATAATTTAATGTCGAGGGAGTACAAAATCTTTCATATTTCTTTATTTTTTCTACAAATATTATTCTTTGTTCGTCAATTTATAGTAGTTGTTGTCATTTTTCGGAACTATAGCACAACAAAAGCCATCAACAGTGTATATATATATAAATATATGTGATATATATCCGGGAAAAAAGTAATTTATGAAAAGTGACATTTTATAACCTGCCAACAGAGATGAAATGCCAAACTTTTTTCCCGTCACAGAAAAAATAAATTATAATTATCATTATTATCTCTTTCAGCCTGTTGTAGTCGACCGCACAGCTCGACCAGTGCCGAAATCGAGCAATCTATGTCGACCATGTCGGTGGGCGGTAGCCAGCAACCTGGCGTGTCCACCGCCCAAGGGGGCGGAGCCATCACCCGCACGAAGGACGGGCGGTACAAGGTAACAATCTATAGGCATATACAGTGTGGAGACTTTAACTGGAATAAATTCGTTAACGGGGAGGTGAATATTTTTTCTAAAAATTCCCGGCATACGTCAACGATTTAATGTATTTACCTACCTTCTGCAAGCAATATTGTTAATATATACCTCCAATGGTAGCTGAAACCGACCTCAACATGATTTTTTCAAATATGACCCTATGGCTTGTGACTGCTCATTGGAAAGCTGGTGGAAAGAGGAATCCAGCGTGTTAGTCGAATGTTAGTTTTTCATACATTTAAAGGTTGCACAAAATCGAAATGTGATTTAAAAATTCAATTTTTTTTCCAACGTATCAGTTGCTCAAAATGTGTGTTGAATAATCGATGGCAATTTTTTGCTACAACTGCTATCTGCAATTGTATTCCAGTGTTCTTATAGAGCCACAAAAAGAAATTCAGTTTTTTGCCGTATTCACAATTCGAAACGATGTGTTATTGCAAACGGGTGGAAATGCCCTAAATCACTGTCACTAAGAGTCGAAATTTTGATGAAAATACGTTGAGAATATATAAAACTTCGAAATTATATTTTGATTTTATGCAACCCCTGAAAGTACTGCAAACTGGAATATAATCAGTACGCTGGATTCCTCTTTCAACCAGCTTTCCAATGAGGGGTCGCAAGGCATAGGGTTGCATTTTAAAAAAACATGTTGAGGTTGATTTAAGCTACCCCTGAAGGGTTATATTCTCCATATTTCGCGACAACTGTAGGTAAATACATTGAAACGTTGACGTGTTTTGCGAATTTTCAGAAAAATCATTCACTTCTCCAGTAGCGAATTTATTTCAGTTGAAGTCTCCACCCTGTATGTATTTGTGAAATTTTACAAAAAGCGATTTGTAAATGGAACAGCTAACAATATTTATGATCTTGTAACCATAATGTAATTGGAGCAAGATCCTGTTCCATTTGGTTTTCCATTTCTTGTTTTTTTTTCTGTAATAGACGATTGATTGATTGATTGTTTGATTGAAGGGTAAGCGTGCCTACCCCTCCATCCCGAACCAGCCCTCCGAAGCGGGCGCCCACTTCATGTTCGAGCTGGCGAAGACCGTGTTGAATAAGGCTGGCGGCACTTCGAGCACCTCGTTGTTCACGCAGCCTTCGACCAGTCAGAATCACCACGGGCCCAACAGGGCTTTGCACATGTGCGCCTTCCAGCTGGGGCTGTACGCCCTCGGGCTGCACAATTGCGTCAGTCCGAACTGGTTGAGCAGGACGTACTCGTCGCACGTCTCTTGGATAACAGGTAATGCACTAATCTACACAAAAACATCGATGAATGAATGAAATCGCGAATGGTGGGGATAATAACAGACGGGTGAGTGCTCCGATTGAATAGACACCGCGATTCATTCATAAATCATCGAACAGTATAGGCCAACAATCCTGAAGGCCACACACAGATAAATGAATGAAATCGCGAATGGTGGGGAGAACTGTGCAAAATCATTGCCAGATAATTGATATTATATAGACAGTTGTTGATGTTGTCATGAATACAACAAAAATTCCTTATATAATTGAGAAACTAACAAAAAAAAACCTTCTATGTCAGTCTAAAATATCGAAAATATACAAGGAAATCGCAAATAGCAAATACATAAGATTTATCATGCATTGCCAATCCCATCGAATGATCTACCACTGTGTCGATTCTGACAGATTAAAATTCAGCAGTTAACGACGTTGACGTTGCTTCTGCTTTGACATCGATAACAGGAGTAACATTTTTTGCCGTTTTGTTATTCAAATATTTGATGATGAAGTGTTTCGAATTGATTTTCAAATAACTTAATATTCGACGGAAGATGTTCTGTAGGAATATGGAAATGTTTCGAACAAATCGATGATGATATGATAGGTGAATACTTTGGAATGAGGATATAAGGAGTAAAAGGTATGTACCATTATTTGAGTTTATTTTCGGTCGGCAGCAAGCTTCCACCTATCGTTTCATTAGGTCTCCATTCTTGGAAAAACAGAAATTGGAATTTCCATAACCAAGAAAACAAACAAGCGGGCATTTTGAAATTATCTCATTCAATTTTAGAACATCGATCACGAAAACAAATAATAACAATGACAGTTATATCCCAGTTGACGTCATGCGCAGAACAAGACGAAATTGAGCTTTCCATCTAGCACACCATCTTCTCCTTCCACTATGAATAAAACCTATTAATACAACGTCGAAGCAAAAAGAATTATCACTGATGCTGTTCCCTGTCGCCCTCAGGCCAAGCGATGGAGATCGGCGCGTCGGCCATCTCCTTCCTCATCGACACGTGGGAGGCGCACCTCACGCCACCAGAGGCCGCCAGCATCGCCGATCGTGCCTCTCGCGGCTGCGACCTCAACATGGTGCGCGCCGCCGCCGAACTGGCGCTCGGCTGCCTCCCTCACGCGCACGCGCTCAACCCCAACGAGATACAGCGCGCCATCTTGCAGTGCAAGGAGCAGAGCGACGAGACGCTCGAGCGCGCCTGTCTGACGGTGGAGCAGGCTGCCAAGGGCGGTGGGGTGTATCCGGAGGTGCTGTTCCAGGTGGCCAAGTACTGGTACGAGCTGTACGTCAGGTGAGTTTCATATCTGATCGTTGGTTATTTTGTGTCCAAGTGTTGAAATCATGATGAAATAGGCAACGAACGGGGTAACGAACATCAATGGTGGTTAGAGTCACTGGATGGTATTAGTTAGAGTTCCTTGATGTACTTGACACTGTTGTTTTGACGTTTTTTGTATATTAAAGTACGGACACTAGACAAGCAGTGACAATCAAACATAACCACAAACGATTTTGAAGCAAATCATATGTTTTGCCAGACAAGGACAAGAATATGTTTTTCGCTGAGATAAAGGATCCTCGCATCTTCCTTCCCCCACAAGTCCTGGGAAGAGTACATCCATATATCTTTCTCTGTCTTCGATTTTTGTATGAGAGTGCATAGCGTCTCCTCGAGTGGGTTAAAGGGTACGATAAATTGATTAGAACATTATTTCTTCTCGAAATATTGAATGATAAGGCTGAAGGACCTCAATGGAGGTCGATACCAAGTTGGTATGTACATACAAACCTACGAAATACATATACTATTTCTATGAATCTAACCTCTAAAATCATATCTGACTATCAGGCGCTACTAGGGAAGATGAAGAGCACAATATATGTCTTATTCTTTTATTCACTCAAACCATTGTAATATAGAAAATAGAAAAGGACAGAAGTTCAGGTGTGTCCGAATTTTTCTCTAACTAATACCATCCAGTGACTCTAGCGACAGTAAGTGTGACTACTGGATCTGTGGCGTGAGTAATGAGAGGGAGAGAGATGGGGGGGGGGGGGGGGGGGAAGAGACAGGGTCAAAAAGTTGGTAGAGACAGAAAGAAAATTTGAAAGAGGAGGTGGAGAAAGAGAGAGATAGTCAGACAGAGTATGTGGAGACAGAGAAAAAGTTAGGTATAAGGTGATGACAGAATCCAGTTGTTGGGAGCAAGTTGAGATCTCTTAAAAGTCGAAAAATGTACGGGCGAGCCGTTTTATGGTTCATCTTCTGTAGTCTATGGTCAGGAACAGAGAGATAATGTTTCATGATGAGTATGTGAAAATTCATTTAGGAATTCAGTAAAATTGAGGAGGAGTTCTCACGTTTCTATTAGAATAACAAGAAGTAGAAGGAAATTTGTTTCCTGGACTCAAGACTTTATTTTTTCTGACTGGTTTTCACAACTTTCATAAAGAATGATGAAGTTATTATCGCCATTATTAGGAACAACATTTTTGATTTCCAGTTTCTTCCAGATGCATCTAATTGAGCCTCGACATTAAGTTACGTCCATTGACAACAATGTCTCTATCTTACCTTTCAGTGAAGAGAATTGTCTGTACTGAGTTATTGTTTTTGTATTAGGCATACTCCTGGAGGCGAGCAAATGATGGATAACGAAATGGCACACGACCAACTGATGGACGCCCATGGAGCTTTAGTAGCGTTGATTGAGCAACCTGGACCTGTTGAAGTGCAACCCACTGCTGCTTCGGTAGTAGTCACCACAGCGCCGCCATATACGGTAAATACCAGATTAGTTGTCCTGAAAGTAAATTTCACTTAAATCATAGGAATGTCTCATGTGATTGTAAAAAACTTCACAAACTATAAGATTTTTTTCAAAAGTAGCTTCTTCAGAAGGTAAATAAATTAACTTATCGTTGACTGGCCTAACTAATGTATACTTGCGAACCTTAAAGATTAGACTTACCTGCAAATAGGCTAGCGAATCCTTCATTTTGGAAAGTATGCACAATATTTACATCAAAAATCTGCGAAACGGCGTTATGACTTTCATTTTTGCTCTCAGGGTGGTGACACCAATCCATTGGAATATTTTAGATTTATTTTCAGCGGTTGACTAGCAGTGCAATAAAACTTTTTAAAATTGTTTATCAACATTGACAACCTGTAACTTGAAAACGTTTGAAATGAAAATATGTTTTAAGGAGCTTTTCTTTTATTTATTTATTTATTCATTCATTTATTTCAGTTATTGCATTACATTCTCTTCTTCATTGATACATTTCATACAAATAATATATGAAGTATAATTGATTTTCTAGTAGGAATGACATGAATGATCAGACAGTAATTCCTGGTATAAGATCATTCATGAAGTATTATCGACTTTTGTATAATTGAAATTACAAATAGTGAACAAAACTTACATATCATTAAGAGATCTCAAAATAACAGTCATATTATAGTAAACAAGAAGGAAAAAAAAATAGTGAAAAAAAAAAGGAAAGTCATAGTCTTTCAGCTTCGATCATTCCTTTGCATATAAATATATTTCTTCACTTTATTTTTGAATTGTATAATATTTGGGCTGTTTTTGATATCATCTGGTAATTTATTGAATTTCGAAATCGCCTCATGTGTAAACTTTTTTGTCCAAGTTTAGAATTTGAAGCTTCAAGATGAAACAAGTTATATTGTCTAGTGTGACGATTATGAATTTCAGAATTCCTAATTAACATAAAATTTGATTTAAGCTTTTGTTGATGATATAATAGGAAATTTTGAGAGTATTGATTGAAAAGTGCTCTTCCAAAGAAAATGTGTTTGTTTCCCTATAAAGTTGATTCGTTGGAGTATCTAAGATAAATCAAGGTATTACGTCCTTCAATATGTTAATGTCATTCAGGAACACTTAGTATTAGGACATTTTTCATCCGTAGAAGCGGATCAATTTCCAGCTCGAAGACTCATTCCCCGTCAAATTCACCCCTTCGTTTCTCTTCCAGCACCCCGCTCCCCCCGTCGGCATGTACGTCGGCCACTACAACTTTCTTCCGCACGTCCACCACCCACAAATCACCTACGGGGGCCCTATACACCCCCTGCACCAACCCCCACCCCCACCGCCGCCTGCCCACGTGCAAATGTACCCGTTCCCCTACCCCCCGCCCCAAGCCGCCGCCCCGCCCTTCCCGCCCATCCCGACGTCGTACGCCGGCCTGCCGCCGCCCCCGCCTGCGCAGAACGTCGCGCCCTCTGTCCAGCAGCAGCAGCAGTACGTGGCTCCGCCCACCGTGTTCGCTAGTCCGCCGCTGCAGCAGCAGCAACAGGTGCCGCTACAGCAGCAGCAACAAGTGCCGCCCGCGCAGGGGCAGCTGCAGTACTACGGGCCGACGATGGCGATTGCGCAGCCGGTGCAGGGGTTGAGGCCGCCCGGTGCCCATATTTATCCTGCGCCGCCTCCAGGTGAGTGCTTTCGTTCTGCTACAGCCTTCTTCAATAAGAGAATCATGGTGGAGTATTGGCAACGCTGTCTGGAAGGCCTCTTGATGCACATACACGAAATGAGTTTTCAAAAGTAAAATATATTCCATCAATCTACAACAACTGTTCATACCTGAAATATCTTGAAGGCGACACTGTCCTTTGTAACTAACGCCATTGTTGATACAATCCCCTCGTAAGGGTACCTGACGTTATTCTATATACTCACATATCATTCAATTTACAATGACTTACCAGAGAGCCTTAAGCTGAAGGATTACCACAGAATTAAAAAGACCTTAACAGAATGGATTGTAGATAGTAAATATAAAATTAATAATATTATATAATATATACACAACGGATTCAAACTATAAATCAGCAGCGAAAATAGTTTAATTAACTAGTAGAATGTGACACAATTACTTACTTATGACCTCGAAAATAACTGTAACACAGAAAAATGGGTGCAGACACAGTATTACAAATACCATTGTGCACCTGAAAATATTAGCAGTAATGTAATGCTTAGTCTGTTATGATGATGTTTATTTACTAGATGTAAGAATATCCTTAGTTCTCTGTGATAACTTGAAACTCCAACTGTATAACTTTAACTACAACATAAATAACATAAGTATTATCTCAGGAACCTGTTGAACCTACTAATAAAATTATTATTATAATATTTATTATCACATACATTAATGTCGACATATTGTTCCACTGATTGGATGAATACATTCAGAAAATCGGTAAAAGTATATCATCATTAATCTATCTGAAATCGCTCAACAGATGTAGAATGCGGAAGTTTCATACATATGAATAGTCATAAAACAAGTTCGGAACAGTTTTATGTCCACGCTGTACATAATAGCGATCGCTAGAGTTAAGGAAGATGAAAAACTTGTCCTGCTTCCTGCAAAAAATGGCGTTCCGGAAGAAGGCTAAGTTTTTTATCTTTCTTAACAACAATAGTTTGTTACTAATTGATGAGCATCATCGTCGTCCTCCATAATTGACGTTCCATGTTTGGGGGTTAGGACCTCTTAAAAAACCCTTTCCTATCAATAATACTTTGAAATCTCCTTGTATTGTAGGACTTCTCAGTATAGGCTGAAGATGGACATTGCATATGTGCGAAACATGTTCCTAATTTGAAGTTTTCAAATGAAAAATCGTGGAGATGACTTTGTGCTTTTTCTTATTCAATATGGATCATAATTTATCTTCATTAGTAATCAACTTAATCTAGCAAACAAGAGATTTATAAAAATTATTCGTAATAGCACAACCTCATTATAAAAAACGACTGTTGCTTTCCTATAGTGCGTGATCAAGTTGGAAGAGAACTGGTGTGAATTAACTGTTTATACCTAACTTTTGGAGGCGACACCCACCTTTGTAGAAAGTCATTACGAACGCCAAAGTTGATACTCTCTCCTCGTAAGGGTACCTGATGTGATTCCATACACTATCAATTTTTGTGTTCTTCATAGGAATGGCACCTCATCCGCAACAAGTGATCGCAAGACCGCATAGGCCACACCAGATCAACCAAACGCAGCTTAGGTATCTGCTGACCTCCTACAGGGTGGGCATGCTCGCCTTAGAGACCTTAGCGAGGCGGGTGCACGACGATAGGCCGCAAGCGAAGTACGCCCGGAATCCACCCTACGGAGATGATGTCAAATGGCTGTTGGGCGTATCGAAACAATTAGGTAAGATTTTCATACGTTCCCTACGATTTTCGATATGATGTGAAACGAGCTGCAATGAAATTTCAAAATCCGATCTCGAATAATTCAGTAACAGGACTGGCGTTTATAGTTGGAGAAGAATACTGGGTGTCCTAGATCTTTTCAGACAGCCATCATGTCTGTTATACTGCTTGGAAAAAAATTTAAAAAATCATACTTGTCAAACTACAACCTATAAATTTTTTGTTGATTAGTGAAGTGCCATCAATTCCAACTCCAATGATGTATCACATTTGATATTTCCTTATGTTTTTCTGTTTTATTTCAGTCAGTTTCTAGGTACATCCAACTAAACCTTTTACGTTTACTCCAAATTAGTATTCTGTCAATTGGACGTCAGTCAAATTATCAAGGGTGATAAATGTATAGGGTGTAACTTGAAAAAAAGAAGTTGACCCAAATGTCTTTGACACAATGGCTTCAAAGACATTTGGGTTTGACAAAAGTGTAATTTTTTTTTCAAGCAGCATAACTGATAATAATAATAATAATAATAATATGAGTTTATTCAAAAATGTTTACAAAATATACATTGGAATAAACATATAGGTAATTTGAACAAACTGGGAGAAACCTTACGACGTTAACCTTGCAGTAAGGATAAAAAATAAATAAATGTACATAGGTCAATAAATATTCAACAATATAAAATTATCACAAGGGAAAATTGTCTCATTAAGAAATGAGACAAGTATTCAATTCATAATATATAGTGTATGAAAAGATTTGGGATACCTGGTATTGGTATTTTGAAAAAGTATGAGATGTTTGGACGTCTCCGTTTTCTACATAAATATGTCATATAATTCTTGATATTCCAAACTCGGCTGGCTGATACATAGAAATGAATCTTACCTGATGTTGTTGAATGGGAAAAGGAATTATTTTCATAACATCGGGTCCCAGAGGCATTCACACTCGCTCGGTGTATTTTGTAGTGAAAATATACTATACGAAGTACATCTTGGTTGACCTCCGTCTGAACACTCCAATAACTCAAATAGTGACCAATCGATATGAGACCCCGGTACAGGACATCACTAATCACTGAGGGTGACTAGGAACAACCTTAACCGCTGCCACCTCCCCCGTTGCAATGCAACGGTCCTCATATTCAAAAAGCCTCATGGGACATGTGACTTCGAAAGTTGTTCGGGGGTAAAATTCTGGAAATAAGAAAATCCGCAAGGGCTGATGTCTGAAATCTGATTTTCTGTGGGGTTTACGTTGCATTTTGGGCTTTGTTTGTTTTTTAAAAAAAAAAGGATCATTAAGATTTTGCATTATGTGAAATCTCTACTATTCCAGTGTTTTATTGATTGGGTGAGAATTTATGATTGTTTCGAGATAGAATCAATCAATATTCTCGTGTGGGGGGTTTGTGTTGTGTTTGTGTTATGTGGTGAGCTTATCAATCGCAAATATTAGGTTCATAGTCGTTTGTTCTTCTCCCGAAACCGAGAATCAGAGTTTGTTGTCTCCTTGACGTGAGGGTTTTCGTGATTCTCCATTCTTGCAAAGGTTTTCACGGCGTGGCGATGATATTTGATTCCACTGTAATATATCGCTTTTCATAACAAATATAAAATTGTGGAGGAATATATTTGAACATATTACGAAACAGGAATGGAAACTCATCACTGGTTGCTGGTTTCTGATCTGGTTCCCACTTTGTACAATTTTTTCGTTAGGCTCAAATGGCCGATTTATAAAACGTTGCTTCTTCGATCTAAAACATAATTGGTATCAAATCTCGAATTTTGAATGAATTGGGGGTTGAAATTGTAGATGTTACATGGAATTAGAAACTGAAATGTATAAGAAAACTCCTCAAATTGCGGTGCTGAAATGCGACATATTCTTCTTAAATGAACGAAACAGATAGCCAACAGTTTTCTCCTTGATGGAGACCACTGTGATACTTGTCACTGGTTGCTGATTTTATGTCTTGGTTCCTCCTCTGTCCGATTTTTCCGTTGGGCTTAAAAGGTCAATTCATAACACGTTGATTCTTCAATCTAAAACATAGTTGGTATTAATTCTCGAATTATAAAGATATTGAGGGTTGAAATTGTAGAAGTTACATGGAATAAGAAACTGAAATGTGAACGAAAACTCTTCAAATTCCGGTGCTGAAATGCGACATATGCGTCTTGAATGAACGAAACAGATAGCCAACAGTTTTCTCCTTAATGAAAAACACTGTATATACCTAACCCACCAGGCGCCTACCTCGGTTGCAATGAGGGTTTACCGACGCCAAGGGTTGATACTCTCCCCTCGTAAGGGTACCTGTCGTGTCTCCATGGAGACATAAAGGTGTCTACTGAAACATTTTCAATGATACATCGCCTTCCATAACAAATAATTAATTTTGAAAATATATTCTATATGAATTGAATACGACACAGAAATGGGAAACTTATCACCGGTTGGTGATTTTATGTCTGGGTTCCTCTTCTATGCGATTTTTCCGTTGGGCTTAAATGGTCAATTCATAACACGTTGATTCTTCAACCTAAAACAGGTGGAATTAAATCTCCAATTTTGAATGAATTGATGTTTGAAATTGTGAAGTTACATGGAATGAGAAACTGAAATGTATACGAAAACTGTTCTCAAATTCCGGTGCTGAAATGCGACATATTCTCCTTGAATGAACGAAACAGATAGCCAACAGTTTTCTCCTCAATGAAAAACACTGTATATACCTAACCCACCAGGCGCCTACCTCGGTTGCAATGAGGGTTTACCGACGCCAAGGGTTGATACTCTCCCCTCGTAAGGGTACCTGTCGTGTCTCCATGGAGACATAAAGGTGACTACTGAAACATTTTCAATGATATATCGCCTTCCATAACATATAATTGATTTTGAAAAAATATTCTCTATGAATTGAATACGACACAGGAATAGGAAACTTATCACCGGTTGCTGATTTTATGTCTGGGTTCCTCTTCTATGCGATTCTTTCGTTGGTTGGTAAATGGTTAATTAATAAGACGTTGATTCTTCAACCTAAAACATAGTTGGCATTAAATCTCGAATTAAAAATAAATTGGGAGTTGAAATTGTGAAGTTACATGGAATAATGAACTGGAATGTATACGAAAAATGTTTTCAATTTCCGGTGCTGAAATGCGACATATTCTCCTTGAATGAACGAAACAGATAGCCAACAGTTTTCTCCTTAATGAAAAACACTGTGAAACTTATCACCGGTCGCTGATTCTATGTCTGGGTTCCTCTTCTTTGCGATTTTTCCGTTGGGCTTAAATGGTCAATTCATAAGACGTTGATTCTTCAATCTAAAACATAGTTGGTTATGAATTATAAATAAATTGGGGGTTGAAATTGTAGAAGTTACATGGAATTAGAAACTGAAATGTATACGACAACTCTCTTCAAATTTCGGTGCTGAAATGCGAAATATTCGTCTCGAATGAACGAAACAGATAGCCAACAGTTTTCTCCTCAATGGAGAACACTGTGGTACTTGTCACCGGTTGCTGATTTTATGTCTTGGTTCCTCCTCTGTGCGATTTTTCCGTTTGGCTTAAAAGGTCAATTCATAACACGTTGATTCTCCAATCTAAAACATAGTTGTTATTAATTCTCGAATTATAAATGAATTGAGGGTTGAAATTGTAGAAGTTACATGGAATAAGAAACTGAAATGTGAACGAAAACTCTTCAAATTCCGGTGCTGAAATGCGACATATTCGTCTTGAATGAACGAAACAGATAGCCAACAGTTTTCTCCTTAATGAAAAACACTGTATATACCTAACCCACCAGGCGCCTACCTCGGTTGCAATGAGGGTTTACCGACGCCAAGGGTTGATACTCTCCCCTCGTAAGGGTACCTGTCGTGTCTCCATGGAGACATAAAGGTGACTACTGAAACATTTTCAATGATATATCGCCTTCCATAACAAATAATTAATTTTGAAAAAATATTCTCTATGAATTGAATACGACACAAGAGGAAACTTATCACCGGTTGCTGATTTTATGTCTGGGTTCCTCTTCTATGCGATTTTTCCGTTGGGCTTAAATGGTTAATTAATAACACGTTGATTCTTCAACCTAAAACATAGTTGGCATTAAATCTCGAATTGAAAATAAATTGGGAGTTGAAATTGTGAAGTTACATGGAATAATGAACTGGAATGTATACGAAAAATGTTTTCAATTTCCGGTGCTGAAATGCGACATATTCTCCTTGAATGAACGAAACAGATAGCCAACAGTTTTCTCCTTAATGAAAAACACTGTGAAACTTATCACCGGTCGCTCATTCTATGTCTGGGTTCCTCTTCTTTGCGATTTTTCCGTTGGGCTTGAATGGTCAATTCATAGGACGTTGATTCTTCAATCTAAAACATAGTTGGTTATGAATCTCGAATTATAAATAAATTGGGGGTTGAAATTGTAGAAGTTACATGGAATTAGAAACTGAAATGTATACGATAACTCTCTTCAAATTTCGGTGCTGAAATGCGAAATATTCGTCTCGAATGAACGAAACAGATAGCCAACAGCTTTCTCCTTAATGGAGAACACTGTGATACTTGTCACCGGTTGCTGATTTTATGTCTTGGTTCCTCCTCTGTGCGATTTTTCCGTTGGGCTTAAAAGGTCAATTCATAACACGTTGATTCTTCAATCTGAAACATAGTTGTTATTAATTCTCGAATTATAAATGAATTGAGGGTTGAAATTGTAGAAGTTACATGGAATAAGAAACTGAAATGTGAACGAAACCTCTTCAAATTCCGGTGCTGAAATGCGACATATTCGTCTTGAATGAACGAAACAGATAGCCAACAGTTTTCTCCTTAATGAAAAACACTGTATATACCTAACCCACCAGGCGCCTACCTCGGTTGCAATGAGGGTTTACCGACGCCAAGGGTTGATACTCTCCCCTCGTAAGGGTACCTGTCGTGTCTCCATGG